CGTATCATAGTGACGGGTCTTTCTGGCTCTTCCACGTTAATGGTTGCTTAGGCTTTTATTATATAGACTAGAGGCCCGGTGCACAAAAATTTGTGCACTCGGGGGGGTACCTCAGCCCGGCCTGTGCCCTCTCGCAGCCTGGGACCCCTAGGGAGATAACGACCTTCTGGCTTAGGCCTGCTCCTGGGTGGCAGAGGGCAGGCCCAATCCCTAGGTGCAGCCTCTGGTCGGGCTCAGAGCAGGGCTGATTGGGGAGTTGGAGCGCCGCCCCCTGTCATGCACAGAGCAGAGCGGATTGGGAGGTTGCGATGCCACCCTCAGTCACGTTCAGGGTAGGGCCGATTAGGGGGTTGGGGCACTGCCCCCTGTCACACTCAAGGCAGTGTCGATGGGGAGGTTGTGGCGCCACCCCCTGTCACGCACAGAGCAGGGCCAATCAGGGGGTTGGGGCGCTTCCCCCTGTCACGCACAGAGCAGGGCCGATCAGGGGGTTGGGGAGCTCCCCTCTGTCACGCACAGAGGAGGGCCCATCAGGGGGTTGGGGAGCTCCCCCCGTCACTCACAGAGTAGGGCCGATAGGGGAGTTGGCACACCGCCCCCTGCCACACACACAGCAGGGCGGATCAGGGGGTTGGGGCGCCGCCCTCTATCACCCACAGAGCAGGGCCGATCAGGGGGTTGGGGCGCCGCCACTCTCACACTCAGGGCAGGGCCGATGGGGAGGTTATGGCTCTAACCCGTCACACACAGAGCAGGGCCTGTGGGGTGGGGGGGTTGGGGCGCCGCACCCTGTCACACACAGAGCCGCAGGGTGATCAGGGGGTTGGGGAGCTCCCCCCTATCAGGCACAGAGCAGGGCTGATCAGGGGGTTGGGTCGCCTTCCCCTGTCACGAACAGAGCAGGGCCGATAGGGAAGTTGTGGCCCCGCCCCCTGTCACACACAGAGCTGCATGGCGATCAGGGGTTTGGGCGCTGCCCCCTGTCACACTGATCCCGGTGCCAGGAGGCCTCTCAGCTCCGCTGATCCCGGTGCTGGGAGGCATATTACCCTTTTACTATATAGAATAGAGGCCTGGTGCATGGGTGGGGGCTAGCTGGTTTGCCCTGAAGGGTGTCCTGGATCAGGGTGGGGGTCCCCACTGGGGTGCCTGGCCAGCCTGGATGAGGGGATGATGGCTGTTTGCAGCTGGTCACACACCCTTCAGGGTTGGGGTCCCCACTGGGGTGCCTGGCCAGTCTGGGTGAGTGGCTGAGGGCTGTTTTCAGGCTGGGACTGAAGCTCCCAACTGCTCCTTTTTTTCTTTTTCTTTTTTTATTCTGGGCCAGCTTTAGCTCTGAGGCTTGGCTCCAGCTCTGAGGCCTCAGCTGCTGAAAACAGGTATCTGGTTTGTTTCGGTTCTATAATCGAAACTCTGTATCAACTCCAGCTCTGAGATCCCAGCTCTCGGAAAGCTGGTTTCTGGGGTTTTGTTTAGCTTCTATATTTGTTACAATGTTTTTTAAACTGCAAGCTCAGAGGCTGGCAAGGCAGGCGGGGAACTTTGCAGTCCTCCGTCACTGAAGCAAGCAAGCCTCATGTTCAGTTTAAGCTGCCTGGCTGCCGGCCGCCATCTTGGCTGGCAGTTAATTTGCATATCGCCCTGATTAGCCAATGGGAAGGGTAGCGGTCGTACGCCAATTACCATGTTTCTCTTTTATTAGATAGGATTAGACATGAAAATGACCAAAGGAAGTTCAGATTTGGGAGCAGTGGATAGGATTTACTAGGATAATCTAATATATGAGAATGGTGATTACAGTTGTAAGTACAGATTTCTAACCTAGCAAAATTATATTTTAGACTAAAAACCTGGGCATGTGCCCTGGCAGGGAATCGAACTGTAACCTCCTGGTTCATAGGTCGACCCTCAACCACTGAGCCACACTGGCCAGGCCTGATTCCAGATTCTTGGGAAATAAAGAAAAAATGGTTTGACCATTTGCTCTAGTATTCTTGAATCTTTTAATAGTGATTATTTTTTTGTCCCAATGCAAGTAACATTCTCTTAGTGTGTATATTTAAAAAAGGAAAGAAGTTTGTGAGTTTGACTTTGTTTGCCTTTCTCCATTTCTCTTGTCATGTTAGTAGTAATGGTTTAGGAGAGAACAAAATACAGTTGACCATTGAACCAATGGCACAGTATTAAATCTGCATATACCTTAAGTGGATCCTCCGCTTATGCAGATTCCCAGCTGTTGACTCATGGGCAATGTGGATTTTAAAAAAGTGTGTGAAAGTGGACCTGTGCAGTTCAAACTTGTGTTAACTAGAATCTTGTTTAATACTGAGTACTATCTCATTGTAAAGAAGAGGACTCAATTCGTCATATTATGTATAATGGCTGTGAACCTTATATTATCATAAACTCATAAATTAATGTTTGAAATAACACTCTAGCACTTTAAAAGAAAAATTCCAAAACCTGTAGGGAATTTTTATGAGTTTATTTGAGCCAAACTGACAACATATGCTGGGTTGCAAGATCTGAAATGCTTCCAACTATTATTTTCTTGAAACCATAATGTAATTTGTAATAATTAGGGAACATTCATGTTTTTTCCAGCCTTATGATTACTCTGAAATAGAGAAATTGCTCTTTAAGGTAATGATGCTACCTTGGGCAACATCTGTGGCTCAAGGCTGTCCTTTATTGTAACAGGCTCCAGTACAGCTGATTCAAGGGATGTTAATTGAATGTCTGCTGGATGCCTGGCACTGTGCTGAGGGAGATTGATAAACTCAGAGCATCTGTTATGTTGAAATTTCTGTTAAAAACTAAGTAATTATAGTGGTATCAATGGTGCGATTATTCTTGCTAACTGAAATGTAAATTCTTTTTTTAAAATATATTTTTTATTGATTTCAGAGAGCGTAAGGGAGAGGGAGAGATAGAAACATCAGTGATAAGAGAGAATCATTGATTGGCAGCCTCCTGCACACCCCACTCTGGGGATCAAGCCCCCAACCTGGGCATATGCCTGGCAGGGAATCGAACCCGTGACCTTCTGGTTCGTAAGTCGACCCTCAACCATTGAGCCATGCCGGCCACGCCTGAAATGTAAAACATGTACTTACTCATTGCTGATGTTCAGCATCCTCAAGAATTTAACCTAATTAAGAAGGAAGCTATCAATAGTGCTAAAGTCAGTCAGAAACTGTATTGCCCAATAAAAGTTGTATGGTATTATGTATTAATCATTTATTAAGGGTAAAATTTTACAATCATTAGCTTCCCCCCTTTTTTCATTAGGATGTCAAACTGAAAAGGCTGTTAGTTATTTAGTTCATCCTGTGCTTCAATTCCCTTCTTAATTACTTGTTTAAAGCTTATTTCTTTCTGTGAACTTTATTTTGCTGCTGATTAGAGCACTTTGGATCTCCCCCCCCCCTTTCCTTGAGATATAATTAGGGACAATAAGTGTACTTTGGTAACTTGGTATAACCAAAAAGATATGTTTTAAGTAACACATATCATGGTAAGCCTGGGTAATAATGAATATTCAAAAAAAATAATCACTGTTAAAAGTTTTACATCTTGCTTACATGTAAATGTGATAATTGTAATCCTAATTTAAATTGTGAATGATACTTGGGTTTCACCTTACATAGGTAGCATTTTTTAAAAACAAAATCACAAAGAACAAAATTGAAACTCATGTCTTCTAAAATAATAAACTGTAAATTCTGGATCGTTTTTAACCAGGGGTCCTCAAACTACGGCCCACGGGACACATGCAAATACAAATATTGTATTTGTTCCTGTTTTGTTTTTTTACTTCAAAATAAGATATGTGCAGTGTGCATAGGAATTTGTTCATAGTTTTTTTTTAAACTATAGTCTGGCCCTCCAACGGCCTGAGGGACAGTGAACTGGCCCCCTATTTAAAAAGTTTGAGGACCCCTGGTTTTTAACCTTTTGAAATTGCTTAATAGAACTGGTCAGAATTAGGAAGGATCTGTGAGGGGTTCCTTTGGAAACCATGGGCAGATAGTCTGTTGTCTTCAGGTTCATAGAGGAATCTCTGGGGATGGTCTTTGAGTCAGGCCTGGCAATGGTCAATGTACATAAACAGAGCCTAGCTTTCAATGTTTTCTGAAGAATGCTTTAATACAAGCTTAGAATGTTCCTCAAGTTGTGTGTTTTCATAAAACAGCCTTTTATTTTTAATTTATTTTTATTGATTTCGGAGAGAAAGGGAGAAGAAGAGATAGATAGAATCATCAATGGTGAGAGAGAATCATTGATTGCCTGCCTCCTGCATGCCCCCCACTGGGGATCAAGCCCAAAACCCAAGCATCTGCCCTTACCAGGAATCGAACTGTAACCTCCTGATTCATAGGTTTACGCTCAACCACTGAGCCACGCTGGCTAGGCAAACAGCCTTGGATTTTACCACATCTTTAGTTTAAAATATTTATCATATAGGGTTACCAGAAGTTAAATGGTCCTTTTTTTTTTTTTTTTTTTTTAAAGGTAGAACTTCCAGGTAGATGCTAGGGAAGGATCATAAACGCCCCTTGGAAAATTGCTATGAAAAAATGATTTGATCTTGGAATTAGGAGGAGAGATTTGCTTTATTGGCAAGAGCAATGGAAAGTTAACTCTGTATCCTAATAATGTAAAGGGAGTGGTATTTATCTAGCATAGTTCTTTGGGCTCTCCAAGAAAGCATATCACTTATGTTTTATTTCATTCTTTCCTTGGAAGTAGTTCACTGATCTCAGATCATTGGTGACATTGCTTATTTTACTTTTAGATAATTCCGTCCTGTGTAGTGATTCATCAAAAGAGCTTCTGCTGTTGGTTGCAATTTTGGCTTCTCTTAAGCTATTCATAGGCTTTTCAAGAGCTGTAGTCTTCTTCAGTGAGCTGTTAATTATTCTTGGTATATTTTTGTTGCAGAATTTACAATACAATATGCCTTTTATTAACGTGATTTTTTTTTTTCCTTTTTGCAGTGATTACTTATTCAAGTTGCTTCTGATTGGAGACTCTGGAGTTGGAAAGTCCTGCCTCCTTCTTAGGTTTGCAGTAAGTTGAAATTGAAATGCCTTTAAAGAAATTAATGCTGTGTACATTTTCTAGGTAGACAAAAGATTAAGCTGTTTTATTCACAATAAACTAAATCTTCCAGAATTTATATATTAAAGCAGGGGTCCTCAAACTATGGCCCGCGGGCCACATGCAACCCACCGAAAACATTTATCTGGCCCACCGTGTGTTTTTGCTGCCGCTGTGTGCATAGGAATTTGTTCATAGTTTTTTTTTAAACTATAGTCCGGCCCTCCAACGGTCTGAGGGACAGTGAACTGGCCCCCTGTTTAAAAAGTTTGAGGACCCCTGTATTAAAGTCTTCGAGTATATACCCCTAGTGATACCTTTGAGTCTTAAATAAAGAAATGCTGTTGTTCTTAAAAGAAACTCAGCAAAGTGTGGTTTATAAAATCAGAGTTGATAGTCTTGGTAGAAGTCAAACAATGTTTCATTCCAACTTGGGTGATAAGGTAAGGGGAAAATAGTTGGCCTGTGTTGAAAGCAACTTGATGGAAAACAACTTTTCAAGTAAAAGTTTAGCAAAAGGCCGAAACCGGTTTGGCTCAGTGGATAGAGCGTCGGCTTGCGGACTAAAAGGTCCCGGGTTCGATTCCGGTCAAGGGCATGTACCTGGGTTGCGGGCACATCCCCCAGTGGGAGATGTGCAGGAGGCAGCTGATCGATGTTCCTCTCTCATCGATGTTTCTAACTCTCTATCTCTCTCCCTTCCTCTCTGTGAAAAATCAATAAAATATATTAAAAAAAATATTAAAAAAAAAAAAAAAAGTTTAGCAAAAGAAAAAGCAGGCCTGGCACATTTTGACAATGGTGCTCTATATGCTGAAATTTATCAACAGATAAGTGACTTTCAACCTAATGAATTCACAGCTTCCTTTATAGTATTTATCAACTGCCTTCGAATTTAGCATATTTTCTGTCTCATTATATCTTTGGTTCTCAGAGTGTGGACTAAAGGCCCTTGGGGATTATCAAGACCCTCCCAGTGGGTTGTCCATGAGATCAAAACTATTGTCTTAATAATACTAAGCTGTTAGTACAGACAGTCCTAGGCTTACGTCGCCATCTCCCATTTATTTATAAAAAAAAAGTTCCGTTATTTCGACGTATGTACATATGTGCTTTATGTTTTTTATTATTTATTTACCACAAGTAAAGGTCAGTAATTGTTATCTTTCTTTTAAATTTACTATTTCACTTCATTACTGCTGTGCATGTGCTTGATGTGAGTGACTTAGATGCTTATGTAGGTGGGTTCTGACTTATGGCGAAAATCTCATTACTTTGCACTGTAGGAATGGATCTCTGATGTAACCCGAGGACCTACTGTATTTACTAAGTAAATAATTACTTAGTACTAAAATAAATAAATAAATAAATTAATTAATTAATAAATTGCCTTTTTCACTGTGTTGATATTTGCTCTGACGATGCAAAAGCAATGGTAGGGCAAAACTGCTGGTGCATTAACACAGCATATCAAGGCAAAGCTAAGCCCCAGACTCTGTTCATGCTCATTGTATTCACTTCTATTCACTACAGGGGGAAAAATCCATTTTCACTAAAGAGTGTCTTTGATAAAACAGTAAAAATGATTATTCTAAAAATCTTGTTCCTTGAGTATTTTTTAAATATGTTGTGAAAAAATGAGGAATATGCATAAAACACTTCGTCTAGTTGTCTCAAGGAAAAGAAAAGCAATTTTTTTTTTAACTTGAAAGAACAACTGATAGACAAACTGTAGTTATGTAGAATTGGGTATTGGCAAACATTTTCTGAAATGAACTGAGATTGTCATTTAAAGGAAAAAATTTGGCAGCATTCGCTGCCTTTAATAAAATTCAAACTTTAAAAGAAAATTGGAATTTTAGAAAACTTATAATTCACCACTAAGAGCTTGGCAGCATCTCAAAAAATAAATATGACTTTTTTTGATAAGATAAATGTTGATATTAATGTCATTAAAAATAATTACATTATAAAAAATGAAATCATGGAAGTACTCGAATAACATATAGGTGATTCTTTAATATGTGTGAAAGAGTATTCTGATAAAAAAATTAGAAAAGATTGTTAAATTTGATTGCATTAAAATTAATGTGAAACATAAAAACAAATGGTACTAGCAAGAAAAATATGAGGAAGGGATGATATTATCAGTATATAAAGCACACTTACACAATAAGAAAATATGCTTGTCCTAATAGAAATATGGGCAAATACATGAGTAGGCAGTTCACAAAAGAAGAGATACAAATTAAATATGAACAAATGTTCAATTTTATTTGTAATTAAAGGCTTAAAATTAGATTTTACTTAATTTTTATTAAATTGGCAAATACTAAAATTGATAATAGTTCCTAGTATTAAATCAGCAATTCTTGGTAGATGGGAGGAACTGGTGTACCTCTTTTTTTAATATGTATTTATTTTTATTGATTTTAGAGAGAGAAAATCATTGATCTGCTGCCTCTTGTACACCTCCCATTGGGGATCGAGCCCGAAACTCAGGCATTGCCCTGACCAGGAATCACACTAGGACCTCCTGGTTCATAGGTCAATCCTCAACCACTGAGCTGTGCCAGCTGGGCAGAAATGGTATCTTTTGATGAAAGTGGCTATATAGTCTGAGAATTTCGTGTTTCAAAGAAAATCCTCTTTGAAATGCCTATTGATCTAAGTTATAGGTTTTCAGTACTACCTACACAGTAAAATCACCCAGGAGCATTTATAAAAAAATACTGATTTCTGGATCCCCAAAATAGATACCAGGCCCAAAAGATATTGTAAAGAAATGTATAGTAAGCTATGGGAGCACAGAGGAAAGGATCTCTTAACTATTGGCTGAGGAATTGAATGTTTGGACAGTTAGTATTGCCTGGGCTCAAAATTGAAGCGTGAGTAAAAATTGCCATGTGATCCAGGGGCTGGGGTATGCAGAAAGGGAAAACTGAGAATTTGAACAGAAGGAAGAGCATGTGCAGTGGCTCAGCCATGCAAATAGGAGTCATTTAGGGGTTTATATGAATTCTAGCAAAGCATTTATAAGTATTTCTAACAAAACACCTGACATGTATAAGTGCTAAGTGAATGTTTATTGTATTCATTTTGTTCTCTATCCACTTTCTACAGTGCCTGTTACTTATTAGATATGTAATTAAAAATAAATAATTTCAAAATGAATATCTAGTGATGAGGAGCATTTTGTCAAATTGCAGTCAATGCTTTTAAATGTATTCTTTTACCCAATGGTTCTGCCTGTGCACAAGTGTGAATCTATGAGGAGAATAAGTCCCTTAGAACTCCCTCCCTCTGATCACATTTTATAATTTAAAAAGATATTCTTACTGATTTTTTTTTAAGAGAGAGAGAGACAGAGAGAGACAGAGACAGAGAGAGACAGAGAGACATTGATGTGAGAGCACATCATCCATCAGCTGCCTCCTTGCAAGTTCCATACCCAGGATTCAGCCTGCAACCTTTTGGTGTATGGGATGATGCCTAACCACTTGAGGACAGCAGCCAGGGCTACAGTTTTCTCTAGAGTTTTTTTTTTTTTTTTTTTAACCCTATGTTTGGTCAGATTCTGCATTATCAAGAGTTGCTCACACTATCATTTTCCCCTTTTTGTTGGAGCGTTGTAATGCAGATCTCAAGTGTTGTCTCCCTCTGTGTCAGCGGTTCTAAACCTGTGGGTCGCGACCCCTTTGGGGGTCGAATGACCCTTTCACAGGGGTCGCCTAAGACCATCCTGCATATCAGATATTTACATTACGATTCATAACAGTAGCAACATTACAGTTATGAAGTAGCAATGAAAATAATTTTATGGTTGGGTCACAACATGAGGAACTGTATTTAAAGGGCCAGAAGGTTGAGAACCACTGCTCTACGTACTTTTGTATGAATTTCCAAAAACGACATTTTCATATCAAATAACATTGCCATTGTTAACTTAGAAAATAAATCTCCCTGATTGTCTCAGAAGTATTGGTATTATGGTTGACTTGAATTAGTATTCATTCTTGGTCCACACATGGTTCCATCCATACATGGTCCCATTTAGTTATTTTGCTGCTTAGTCTCTTAACCTAGTTTTCCCAACCTCCTCTTTTTTTCATTTTATTTATTTTTTAATTGATTTCAGAGAGGAAGTGAGAGGGGGGAGAAAGATAGAAACATTAGTGATGAGAGAGAACCACCAATCGGCTGCCTCCTGCATGCCCCCAACTGGGGATCGAGACCACAACCCAGGCATGTGCCCCTGACCGGAATTGAACCCGGGACCTTTCAGTCCGAAGACCAATGCTCTATCCACTGAGCCAAACCAGTTAGGCCCAACCTCCTCTTTTTTATGTGTTTTTCTTGTCATTTACTTTTTTCAGAAACCAGGGAAGTTTTCCTATAGATCGTTCAGTATTTTAGATTTGTCACTTTGCTTCCTTGTGGTGTCTTTAAACTTGTTCAAATTCCTCATGTTTCTGTAATTGGAAGTAAACCCCCAGAGCTGTGTTATCCTTGTGGTATCTACTAGCCCCGTGCAGCTATTTAAATGGAAACCAATTAAAATTGAATAAAATTAAAAACTCAGTTCCTTTTACTCAGTTGCCACTTGGGGCTAGTGGCTACTGTATTAGCTAGCTCAGCTTATAGAAGCTCCATCATCAAAGGAAGTTCTGTTTGATAATGTTACTTTTAATAGTTTTAGTAAATAGTTTTATCTATTCTTCCATCCTAGTCCCCTTATTTATCCTTTGATTAGATTTAGGACCATCTTTTTTGTCAGAATACTTAAGTGGTACTTTGTGCTTGCTAAGATGGTTCAGTGGGTTTAGGTGTTGATAGCTTGATCTCTCCATGTATCTTTTCACAAGCATTAAGAGTTTTGTTTCCATTCTGAGTAAAATGTCAAAACAGATAACTTGAGAAAAACAGGTACAATTTTTAAAGTTTAACATTGGGTTAAACATTGTTCACATAAAAGCTTATACACAAATGTTCATAGCATTATTTATAATAGCCAAAAGTAGAAACAACCAGATGTCCATTAACTGATGAGTGGATAAACAAAATGTGGCATATCCATACAATAGACACTGAGTGGCCAGATTATTATGACCACCCCATCAGTACTTCATTGACACTTCCAAAAGTACTGAATATTGAAAACTTCCTAAGAAAATACTCTCAATGCTTTATTATTATTATTATTTGCATAACTAATTCACTTCATTGTACTGATGGGGTGGTCATAATAATCTGGCCACTCAGTGTATATTATTCAGCCATAAAAAAGGAATGATGTATGCCCAGCCAGGTGTGGCTCAGTGATTGAGGGTAGACCCAGGAAGCAAGAGGTCACCAGTTTGATTCCTGATCAGGGCATATGCCCAGGTTGCGGGCTCGATCCCCAGTAGGGGGCGTGCAGGAGGCAGCCAATCAATGATTCTCTCTCATCATTGATGTTTCTGTCTCTCTCTCCCTCTCCCTTCCCTGAAATCAATACAAATATATTTTTTTAAAAAAGGAATGAAGAAGAACTAATACATGCTATAATATGGATGAACCTGGAAAACTTTATGCTAAGTTAAAGAAGCTAACACGAAAGGCCACATACTGTATGATTCCAATCTTACGAAATGTTCAGAATAGGCAAATCCATAAAAACATAAAGTAGATTAGTGGTTTCCAGGGCCTAGGGGAAGAGAAGGAAATGGAGAGTGACTGCTACTAGGTACAGAGTTTCATCACAGGATGATGAAAATGTTCTGGAGTTAAATAATGGTGTAGGTTGCAAAACCCTGTGAATATACTAAACAAAACCATTGAACTGTACACTTTATTTTTTTTTAAATATCTTTTATTGATTTTTTTCAGAGAGGAAGGGAGAGGGATAGAGAGTTAGAAACATCAATGAGAGAGAAACATCGATCAGCTGCCTCCTGCACGCTCCCTACTGGGGATGTGCCCCAACCAAGGTACATGCCCTTGACCGGACTCGAACCTGGGACCCTTGAGTCCGCAGGCTGACGCTCTATCCAATGAGCCAAACCGGTTAGGGCTGAACTGTACATTTTAAAAGGATAAATTTTATATTGTGAGAATTTGAAAAAGTCATAACTAGGAAATAAAATCGATTTCTAAAAAATCCAGAAGAGGAGAGTGACATGGTCATTAATTTGTGGTGAATAAGTGGGATTTGTGGGTAGGGAGGAGCTAGAGTTTCACTGATTAGCAATTAGGAAAATTATTCATCATTGAAAATATAAAACCTTTTCCTGTGTAACATATGTAAATAATTTGCCAAGAAATGTGTGAAAAAATTAAAGAATAGTTATTGAACAAAATATTAAGAAAAAACTGTTAAATAGTGGTTTTAATCAAAACATGAAGTAAATACTGGAGCAGGATGGAGTGGTTGTTCTCAACATGTTATACCTTTTAACCTTATCAACTTTGTATATAAAAGTTAGCACTGTTTTCTTATTTACTCTAGTATTGAACATTAATTTTAATCATGAACTATTTTTCTCTTCAGGATGATACGTATACAGAAAGTTACATCAGCACTATTGGTGTGGATTTCAAAATAAGAACTATAGAATTAGATGGGAAAACGATCAAGCTTCAAATAGTAAGTAATTTTTGAACTAGAAATTTTTGAAAAAAAATTATTTTGATAAATTTAGAATGTATTATTTATTTTTTAATATTTAAAAAAATTAAATTTGAAGTATTTTAAGCATCATGCATCCATAATAGAGTGGTAGAATAAGAATTGTTCAGATTAAAAATGACTTGTCTAAGATTATCTTCCTCATTGAATTTCCTATTCATAAAGCAGAGAAATACATGTTTTAAGTCAAACTTGTTCTTTTTCTTGTGCTTTTATCAGTGGGGTCTAAGTTGAACTTTACCTTGTCTTATAGCAAAAGTATGTTGAGCATTTTGTCTATGTCTTTTACTGTGTTGAGTACTATAGAACATGAAAAGAAACCTTGGGAGAGGTTCTTCATATGTGGCTTAATTGAGTACAGTTGACCCTTGAACAATGTGTTAACTGTGCAGACCCACTTATACACTGATTTTTTCCCAGCTGACTCATGCAGCTCATTTGACCTAGGCAGTTCAAACCCAGATTGTTCAAGGGTCATCTGGAGGTTGGGAATCCACACGTGTGGAGGACAGACTTAAGTTATTGGCGAATTTTTGCACTGATGGTTGGCATCTCTAGTAACTTCTGGGTTATTCAAGGGTCACCTGTATTTTTTTTATTTCTGTTGTATTTATTATGTAGTATTTACCAACTCTTAGAAACAGAATTTTATCTGAAAGGAACTTAGCTTTTCTAATTTGTTGCATAACTCAGAAATTGATGCTGATTTAATTATTTGCCTATAGTTCGTAGCAGAACCAAGTGGCCCATAGCTCTGCTTTCAATATTTTGTGTCCTTGTTCCATCCTAGTCCCCTTATCTATCCTTACAACCCCAACCCCAAATTAAAAGTAGGCAATTGTAGTAGTTCAATTATTATCACTTCAATATGAGTCTGGGACGATTAGTGTGGACATATCTGTGGTCTTTAAAAATAATCTCTGGATATCTTTTAGAGCTGGCTATTAGTATTAAGTAACATAGAAAACTAGTGACTGTTCTTTTTTATGGAATTGGTAATACACTGAACTGGGAATTCTGGATTTAGAGTCAGAAAACTTGGATTTGATATCTTCATTCTGGTATTTACTAGTTATAGAGTAGTTATAGAGTTATGGGTTTAACTTTAGCCTTTTTCCTGAGACTGTTTCTTATATCCAAAATGAATGTGAAAATACTTGATTTATGAACAAATAAGGTAATTGTGAGAACCAAATCTGGTAGCTTTGTGTATGTGTATACAATAATGTATGTGAAAGCCCTTTGTAAACTTTTGGGCAGTACAGTAGTCCCCCCTTATTCTAAGACCCCCAGGGGATGTCTGAAACCACAGATAGTATAGAACCCTATATATACTGTTTTTTCCCTATGCTATATACACACACCTATGATAAAGTTTATAAATAAGGCACAGTATGATATTAATAATCTATAATAATAAATCTATAATAATGAAAGCATAATATGCTAATTAGACTGGACGTCCTTCCGGACAAAGTCGGGGCTGTGAGGGAAGCCTGGGTCCCAGGTGCCAGAGGGAAGCCAGTGCCGGCAGCCGGGGAAAGGAAGGCCTACTCTGGCACAACTTTCGTGCATTGGGCCTTTACTATACTATATAATAAAAGGCTAATATGCAAATAGACTGAACAGCGGAACAGCCAGTCGCTATGATGTGCGCTGACCACCAGGGGGCTCATGCAGAACATGGCGGGTGTTGGCCAGGGCGTGGTGGTGGAGCAGGTTAGTGGAAGTGCCAGACTAAGGCGGAGCGCCGATCGCTGTCATCAGGGTGAGCCTCTGGTGGTTACTGAAAATTCTTTGTTCCCACATACCACGGTCCCGCCAGTCACTCACACCTGCTGCCAGCGCTGGCCCTGCTTGCACCCACAGCTGGCGCCAGAGCCATTGCTCACATCCACTGCTGGTGCCCGGGCGCCGGTCCCGATCACTTAGCGCCATCAGTGCGTGCGAGTGGCGGCTGCCAGCCCTGATCTCCCCTGAGGGCTTCTCCATCTCCCCCTGCTCCTGAGGGGTGATAGGAGCAGCAGCCACCACTCACACCTGCTGATGGTGCCGGCCCGGTGTCCACCTGCTGCTGGCACTGGCCACAATTGCTCTGCGCCACCGTCAGCGCATGGGAGCTATGGCAGCAGAAGCGGGGTTGCCAGCAGACAGGGGACCGGGGGACACAGGAGGGGCTGGGCAGGGGCACGGAGGATGGGCCGAGACCCGCCCCTGTACCTACCGCAGCCTCTCGGCACCCCCACAGTTCCTTTCAAGGTGCATGAATTTGTGTACTGGGCCCCTAGTACTATAGTAAGAGATATGTGAATGTGGTCTCTCAAGATGATACAGTGCCTACGTGATGAAGTGAGTTAGATATGCTGAATGAAGGGGATGATTCAGGTCAGGGGTAGGACTGAGTGTAATGATGCAAGATTTCTGGCACAGCTCAGAACAGCATGCAATTTAAAACTTCGGAATTATTTCTGGAATTTCCATTTAAAGTTTTTTTAACCACGGTTGTCTGCTGGTATCTGAAACCGTGGATAAAGGAGGGACTATTGTATACAAATGTTACTGAAGATATGACATTTTTCCAGAGAGGTAATATTTTTTTAGTTCCTCCCTTATATGACTCTGATGAGGGGGAAAAGGTACATTAAAAAAGAACTGTTGGTTTTGCTATAAGTTAACACACTTGGCATTCTAAATTAAGACTTGCAAGGATATAATTTTCTGAGTGTGTGTGAAGTACTTTAAACCAGCCTTCCATATTGATCCCCCCCAATTATATGTAGAACTTTATACTTGGCACCACCTAAAGTAAGAGGCATGTTTCAGAAAGCTGCACCCAAGCTTCTTAACTACTGATGTGAAATGGTTGTATGTGTGATTATTGGTCTGCATAAGGTTTGAATATATATTTGTGAAACATTCATATAGTGCTACCTTCTTGTGGCTGGAATGGTTCATAATAGGTCATTCTTTGAGTCTTTCTTTGTCTTTGGGAGTAATTTCCTTTCCCTATTTGAACATTTTTGGGAAGCTCGCCAGTTTTTCAAATAAGCTAGTTCCATTTGTAAATAACCTCTAATTGTTAACTCTTTATGTTGAGCTGAAGCCAGTTTCCGTTCACTTCTAGCTCTTATTCCTCTGCCTTTTGGAGCTTCCTGAATGAGATTAATTTCTTTTCTGTTGGCACCTGCCTTTATTTATTTTATTGCCCTTTATTTTTATTTTATAATCTTTATTTTTAAAAAAATTTTTATTTTTTAATTACATTTGACATATAATGTATTATATTAGTTTCAGGTGTACAACCAGTGATTACACAAATAATTTACTAAGTGATTATCCAGATAAATCTTGTACCCATCTTATACCATAGTTACTAGAATATTATTGATTATATCCTTTTTGCTGTACTTTACATCCCCATGACTATTCTTAACTATCAATTTGTACTTCCTAATAATCCCTTCCCCTTTTTCACCCATCCCCCCAACCCCCCTCCCATCTGGCAAACATCAGAATGTTTTGTCTATGAGTCTGTTTCTGCTCTGCTTGTTTATTTTGTTTTTTAGATGTTGACAGATATGTATTTATTGCCATTTTATTGTTCATATTTTTAATCTTTTTTTTCTTCTCTTTTTTAAAGAAGATCCTTTAACATTTCATGCAATACTGGTTTGGTGGTGATGAACTTTAGCTTTTTCTTGTCTGGGATGCCCTTTATTCTTTGATTCTCAATGGTAGCTTTATTGGGTAGAGTAATATTGGTTGTAGGTCCTTCCTTTTCATCACTTTGAATATTTCTTGCCAATTCCTTCTGACTTGGAAAGTTTCTGTTGAGAAACCAGCAGATATTCTAATGGGAGCTCCCTTGTAGTTATCTGCTTTTTTCTTGCTGCCTTTTTATTGAATTCAGAGAGGAAGGAAGAGGGAGAGAGATACAGGGACATCAGTGATGTGAGATAATTAATTGGCTGCCTCCTGCATCCCTTACTGGTGACCAAGCCCCACAACCTGGGCATGTGCCCTGAACGGAAATCAAACATGACCTCCTGTTCATAGGTTGTGCTCAACCACTGAGCCACACCAGTTGGACTTTTCTTCCTTCTTTTAAGATTCTCTTTGTCTTTAACCTTTTGTATTTTAATTATGTGTCTTGGTATGAGCCTCTTTGGGTTCATCTTGTTTGGGACTTTCTGTATTTTCTGGATTTGTATGTCTATTTCCTTCACCAGGTTAGGGAAATTTTCTGTCACCATGTTTTCACATAGGTTTTCAATTTCTTGCTCTCTCTCTTCTCCTTCCAGCACCCCCATGATGCAAATGTTGGTATGCTTGAAGTTGTTCAGAGGCTCCTTACACTATCTTTTTTCTTTTTATTCTTTGGATTGGGTGTTTTCTTGAGAGTTTTTTGTTGTTGTTTGTTTGTTGCTTTTATTCCAAATCACTGATTTGATTCTTGGCTACATCTATTTTACTATTGATTCCCTGTAAATTATTCATTTCAATTAGTATATTCTTTTTTATGGTTTCCATATCTTTTTATGTTTTCACTAAGTTCATCTATTTTTTTCTCTAAGTTCATTGAGCATTCTTATAACCAGTGTTTTGAATTTTACATCTAATAGATTGCTTGTCTCCATTTTGTTTAGTTGTTTTTCTCGAGTTTTGTTTGGTTCTTTCATTTGGAACATGTTTCTTCTCATTTTGGCAGAGCCCCCCACCCCCCATGTTTGTTTCTTTGTATTAGGTAGAGCTGCTAGGTCTCCCAGGCTTGATAGAGTAGCTTAATGTAGTAGGTGTGCTGTAGAGTCCAGTGGCACTCCAAGCGCACCCCTTGTGTGGGCTATGTACACCCTCTTGTAGTTGAGCCTTGATTGCTATTGGCATGTCAGTGGGAGGGATTTACTCATGGTCTTACTGGCTACAAGGACAGGCTGTGAATACACGGTGAAGGGTCAGCTGTGCAGGAGTCCAGCTTATGGAGAGGGATTTACTTCCAATGCTGCCGAGTCTGCCTCTTGAGTGTGTCACTTGTGGAGGTGGTTGGGTAGTGCTTCATTGTGATCTACAGCTGTTCATGGGTGCCTCCTGGGAGGTGCAGGCCAATGTCAGTCGCCACTTATGTTTTGTCCAGTGCCTCCTGGCATGAGCTACAAAATGACCTGCAGATGACTGCTGCTTGTGCTGGTCTTAGAAATGCTCAGCAGAGACCCAGCTGCTGCCACTGGTATTGGGCCTGGGGCCACTTAGCAAGAGGTATGAAGCATGTTGAGGCCAGATGCTGCTTGTTTAAAAGGTTTTAGGAAAGCCTGAGGCATGAGCCAAGACAGGCCATTCCAATGGGAAAGTCACTGGAAACAGCTTGAGTGGGCCTGCAAGTTGGGTGGGGCAGAGTCTCAGGGAATTATGGGTTCTGGAGATGGAGAAGACAGTGACAGCCAGGTTGATGGAGACTCAGATATGGCACCTGTCTGACATCTCTGTGCAGGGAGAGCTAAGCAAAGGAAAAATAGCCTCTGCCAGCACTTCTGTCTGGGAGAAAGCTGCCCCTCTAGCTCTCACCCTGATGCCAGACAATTCAGTTCCTCCTGTATATCCCTGGAGCCTTTCAAGCTCTGCCCCAGCGCTGGAGCTTAGAGCAAGTGAGTCAGAGTAAGTCCATGCTTGGGCCCTTTATTAGGAACTGCCTAGGCCCGGCTGGTGTGGTTCAGTGGTTGAGCATTGATCTATGAACCAGGAGGTCACGGTTCGACCCCTGGTCAGGACACATGCCTGAGTTATGGGCTCAATCCCCAGTAGAGGTTGTGCAGGACCCAGCAGATTAATGATTTTCTCTCATCATTGATGTTTCTATCTCCCTCTCTGAAATAAATAAAAATATATTAAAAAAAGAAAAAAGGAGTTGCCTGGGATTCTAGCAGTCCTCTGTTTCACTCAACCACAATCCCTTCCGGTTTTTATAGCCAGAAGTTATGGCAATTTCTCTTCCTGGCACTGGAACCGTGGGTTGGGGGGCCTGGTGTGGGGCTGGTATCCCTTTCTCCTCAGGGGTGTTGGACCAGCCCAACCCTTTCTGTGTCTCCATCCCTCCTATCAGTGTTGATGTGGCTTCTTTATAATCCTTAGTTGTAGGACTTCGATATTTCAGGTGGTATTGAATGGTGGTGGTTCTGTAGTTGTAATTTTGAGGTGGTTGTGGGAGGGTGTCAGTACTGCCCAGCTTGCCCTTTGTGTTGATCTTATCACAATCTCTACATCTGAAGTCAGTGTTTCCTTTCTGGAATCATGTTTTCAGAATCTTTTACAATTTAAGTTACTTTTGCATTTTATAAGTGCCTTTTATTAAGATGGACTCCTGAAATAAAGTACGATACATAATCTAGCCAGTGTGGACTATATGAGGTAAATCCTCCCTTAATTTGGATTCTGAATTTATTTTTTCCCCTCTTGGATGACAGGGACTCATGGCCTTTTCTCATCACTAATCCATTCAAGGATAGGGGAAAAAAACACACCTGAATTTAACAACATTTGCTATCTCAGTTAAATTACTTACTAGTTTGGATTTTATCGCTTTGGGTTTGTAACTTTTTAGAAAGTCTTATACTTCATGACTATAGCTTTTAAATCTGAATGCTAGATTTTACTTTTATTTGCTTTTTTAAATATATTTGTATCGATTTCAGAGAGGGAGAGATAAAAACATCAATGATGAGAGAATCATTGGTTGGCTGCCTCCTGCATGCCCCACGCTGGGGATCAAGCCTGAAACCAGGTATATTCCCTGACTGGAATCAAACTGTGACCTCCTGACGCTCAATCACTGAGCCATTTCGGCTGGGCAGATTTTACTTTAAACCCATTACATTTCATCTTGCAAGGCTTGAATTATCCTTCCAAGTTTTCTGGGTCTTTCAAAATCATTATGTTGATCTATATTTTAATTATCCTTTCAGCTTTTCCTTTTTAAGTGTGCCCTCTGGGTCTTTCTCAGAATTAGTGATTACAAAACATTCAGTAGGGCAGGGCAGGTACGGGATCCAGACCCACAGAATGAAGGCATCCTTCTGTGATTGTTCATTGATGACTCATTTATGGACATGCTTACGTTACACCAGCCAATCCCAAGAGGTTCTAGGTTACAGAGAGAAATGATTAACATAGCCCCGTGGTCGGCAAACTGTGGCTCGCGAGCCACATGCGGCTCTTTGGCCCCTTGAGTGTGGCTCTTCCACAAAATACCACGTGCAGGCGCACATACAGTGCGATTGAAACTTTGTGGCCCATGCGCAGAAGTCGGTTTTTGGCCTGGGCGAGTCTATTTTGAAGAAGTACTGTTGATATTTGGCTCTGTTGACTAATGAGTTTGCCGACCACTGACATAGCCTCATAGACAGAAGGAGAGATCCCATTTCAGTGGGACAAACATGGGAAAGTCAGTAAACCTGTGATTAGGAGGGGTAATGAGGATTATATACAAAGGGTGATCAGTTACAGAGGAAGGTACTATTAGGATGTAGAGTCAGGAGTTTTCATAGTGGCAAGGAGACATCAGAAAGTTTACTCTGTGGATGCCTTGCTTAATCAGTTACAATTCTTTGTTAACATTTATGCATAAACAATTTCTTCCTTGTGCTGTCTTTGTGCAAGTGGTTGATGGGTGGATAAGGGAAGGAAGAACTTTCTTCTGTATATAATCCTTATTACCCCTCACAGAGTAATTGGTTTTCTCGTTTGTCTCTCCCACTTAAATGAGATATCCTGTGAGCGCTGTTTCATTCATCTCTGTAACCTTGAATCTAAGTGCCTTGTGTAGTGTAAGCATTTTCATAATATTTTACTGACCAGCCTCTACAGTTAGGCATTTTGCTAGGCATTTTACAAACGTTGTTTATTTAAACTCATTTAACAATTCTATAAGGTGAGTTACTCCAAAGATTTATAGATGAGGAAACTGTTAATTGACTGTCCCAGCATTAAATAACCAGGAACCTAGATTTGATGTTTTGAAGTCAGATTGGCTTGACTCCAAAGCTCAGGCTTTTCCAAGGAATCCTGAAAGACTTTGACACCTTTTTAAAAAAATATATTTTTATTGATCTCAGAGAGGAAGGGAAGGGGGAGAGAGAACAATCAATGATGAGAGTGAATCATTGATCGGCTGCCTCCTGTACGTCCCTACTGGGGATGGAGCCCGAAATCCAGGCATGTGCCCTTGACCGGAATCGAACCAGGGACCCTTCAGTCCACAGGCTGATGCTCCATCCACTGAGCCAAACTGTCTAGGGTGACTTTGACACTCTTTACTGATACAGATCTAAAGTCTTTTGGGCTCTCAGGCCAGTACTTTGAACAAAAAAAAGAATGAAGCTGTTGTGACTTGTTTTCATTTGTTTTAGATAAATGATGTTAACTTTATTTGATTCATTAACTTTTCCCCTGGAGCAGTGGTCGGCAAACCGCAGCTCGCGAGCCACATTCGACTCTTTGGCCCCTTCAGTGTGGCTCTTCCACAAAATACCGACTTCTGTGCATGGGCCACGAAGTTTCAATCACACTGTAGGTGCGTGCCCACACGTGGTATTTTGTGGAAGAGCCACCCTGAAGGGGCCAAAGAGCCGCATGTGGCTCGCGAGCTGCGGTTTGCCAACCACGGCCCTGGAGCATGTTAAATTACAGACATTATATTTTACTCCAAGCATAGGTTGGTATGCATCTCTATTTTCCTATGTAAACATTTATCACATCTAGCAAAACTGACACTAAGGCCTCAATATTATCTAAAATCCTGGCTGTATTAAAATTTCCCCCCAATTTGAATTTAACAGCTCTTTGTCCGCTGGAAAAGAAAGTGATTTCACTGAGTGCTCCTGAAGCAGTTTTTTTTTTTTTTTTTTTTTAATTTTGCCATTTAAAACAAAGAGGATCAATGCCAAGTTCACAGATATCCTCCAGAACTTTATAATCTCCCTATAAGGCTATTGCATCTTGATCTTCACTTGTCATAAACTTCAAGTCCATTTATTTTTACAGTAACTATAAGTTTCCTTTCAGGTTTTTTAAAAACCCAGCATTTTAATATAGTAATTTAAGTGAGTATTTGTTTTTGGTGTTTAAGTCTAAATGGTGAAGTGTGGCAAATTGCTTTTAAAATGAATTTTATGAAAGTATTTTGAATCATCATCTTTACATTGTTTTCCCTAGGATTAAGATAATACTTTCCAGAGATGGTTAAAGTGCTATTTTGACTGGTAGTTAACTTAATTAGATCCTTTCAGTGCATTCCATGATGCTAAAACACGCTAGCAAATGATATTGTCTTATGTGTGTTAAAGGGATGTAAGGGCAGCAGCCTTCCTAATCAAATCAACCTGTTTATGCAGTCATTCCGAATGTTTTGCACAATTCTAAGAATGGTAGGGAGTATGAAAAGTATGACATAGTTCCTAATCTCAAAGAGCTGCTGTAATATTGGTAGCATAACATAAGCTAAATTGTAGGCACTAGCTTCTTTTCTGGACCTTCAGGTATTTGGCAGTTATCATGCAATTTAGTAGTGTGAGCACTGGGGGCTAATGTTTCCATATCAAATCCTGGTCGTTTCTGTACACATGTAAACAAACTAAACTGTTCCCCCTCCTCCTGCCCCTTTCCCCAACTCTAACTTAATGGAATTGTTTGGATTTCTTGATTATTTTATACTAGTGGGACACAGCAGGCCAAGAAAGATTTCGAACAATCACCTCCAGTTATTACAGAGGAGCCCATGGCATCATAGTTGTGTATGATGTGACAGATCAGGTAAGTTCCAGGAGGAAATTGTGTTACAGCGACCAAGTAGGAAGTTACTATTTGATAAATAGCCATCCATTTTATTTATATGGACAAAAACTTTGTCCACTTCCAAATAAGTGAATCACATAAAAATGTCATATTTTCCTTAAGTAAATAGAAAATTTAGTACAGGGGTCCTCAAAACTTTTTAAACGGGGCCAGTTCACTGTCCCTCAGACCGTTGGAGGGCCGGACTATAGTTTTAAAAAAAACTACGAACAAATTCCTATGCACACTGCACATATCTTATTTTGAAGTAAAAAAACAAAATGGGAACAAATACAATATTTGTATTTGCATGTGGCCCGCGGGCCGTAGTTTGAGGACCCCTGATTTAGTATTTGGTTTTACATTTGCTTTCAGGGACCTTGGTTATATTTATTACCAACTAAAAAACTGATCGTTTTGACAAGAGTTTATAGTGAGCTGTTGTTATTTGGCTTATACCATGTTCTTGGTATTAAATATTAACAAATTTGCCTAGTAGTTAGACTTGTCAGAATTGCCAAAAAACAAGATTATGAGTCTGCCTGTGGAGGATATTCTCGATAGGTTGAGCTAGAGGAAGATTTTAGGAAGATAAAGAATATCTGAAGATTAGCTTTTGAGAGAAGGGGTGGTGGGGGTATAGGGATAGCGTGAAGAATGTACTAGTAGTCCAAGGACCATAAGAATTGTTGATCAGGAAATTAGAAAATTTCAAGTTTTTTTTCTATCAAAGAATAAAAGATAAGTGTTTAGAACTTACTTTTCTTGTAGCAAATGGTGTCACTTCAACTATGATATAGTTAATTAAGAGATAACTGAAATCATAATACTTTAGATTCAATGCCTTGAGAAGTATTGGGTGAGTGATACAACAGGAGAAAAATGATGCTAATTTCAAATCTCATGTCATTACCATGAAATACTTAAAAAAAAATTCTTCTCATTAATATGATTGTGGTAAAAAAACACCCCAAGCATCTTTGGACCCATTTATTTAATATTTTTTGTCTCTAGTAGTAACAATCTATTCATAAACCAAAATAATCAAATTTCAATTCAAATTTATCAAATTTGCTTGAGCTATAGTTTGAGGCTGAGCTGTATTTCTCTGTCAAATAAGGTGTTTTTATCCTCAAGCCTTCAAATTCTAATTTATTTAGGTAAGGATAGTCATTGTAATATTATCAGTTTACTTCTAAGCCAGCAGTATAGTAATTATCTTATAGCTGGAGTTGCTTCATTAACTCTTCTTAGGTTAAGAAAACACTTCTTTTATCACTTGCTTCATTAGAACAGTTGTTATATTATAGAACAGAGCTATATTATCATCCTTAAAAATGTCTGTCTTCTTAGGAGTCCTTCAATAATGTTAAACAGTGGCTGCAGGAAATAGATCGTTATGCCAGTGAAAACGTCAACAAGTTGTTGGTAGGGAACAAATGTGATCTGACCACAAAGAAAGTAGTAGACTACACAACAGCAAAGGTATGTTTAAAGTTGATTTTCAAACTGAATTTGAAGGCATTGAATTTGAATTATGTAGTGAGGAGTCATGCAATGATCACAACCACCTTTTGCTTTTAAAATGTGCACTAGAATACTTTGAAATGACAATTTTTTAATGGTGTCTGTTTGGATTCAGTGAACTTAGTCTTTCCTCACTGCCCATTTTAGACAGAAATGCACTAAAAGTGAAAAAGATTTTTTCAGTGTTAATTGTGCTTTATTATTCTCTTAGGAATTTGCTGATTCCCTTGGAATTCCATTTTTGGAAACCAGTGCTAAGAATGCAATGAATGTAGAACAGTCTTTCATGACAATGGCAGCTGAGATTAAAAAGCGGATGGGTCCTGGAGCAACAGCTGGTGGTGCAGAGAAGTCCAATGTTAAAATTCAGAGCACTCCGGTCAAGCAGTCAGGTGGAGGTTGCTGCTAAAATTTGCCTCCGTCTTTTTCTCACAGCAATGAATTTGCAATCTGAACCCAAGTGAAAAAACAAAATTGCCTGAATTGTACTGTATGTAGCTGCACTACAACAGATTCTTACCGTCTCCACAAAGGTCAGAGATTGTACATGGTCAATACTGACTTTTTTTTTATTCCCTTGACTCAAGACAGCTAACTTCATTTTCAGAACTGTTTTAAACCTTTGTGTGCTGGTTTATAAAATAATGTGTGTAATCCTTGTTGCTTTCCTGATACCAGACTGTTTCCCGTGGTTGGTTAGAATATATTTTGTTTTGATGTTTATATTGGCATGTTTAGATGTCAGGTTTAGTCTTCTGAAGATGAAGTTCAGCCATTTTGTATCAAACAGCACAACCAGTGTCTGTCACTTTCCATGCATAAAGTTTAGTGAGATGTTATATGTAAGATCTGATTTGCTAGTTCTTCCTTGTAGAGTTATAAACGGAAAGATTACACTATCTGATTAATAGTTTCTTCATACTCTGCATATAATTTGTGGCTGCAGAATATTGTAATTTGTTGCACACTATGTAACAAAACAACTGAAGATATGTTTAATAAATATTGTACTTATTGGAAGTAATATCCAACCAAATGGTGATAAGTATTGTTTTAATTCTTATGGTTAAAGGGAAAGAGAGCCTTGTATTATTCCTAAAACATCCATTTGCGTGTGCAACCAGGGCATTGTAGACCTACCTTAGAGCAGCATCCATTATGCTTTCCAGATAATATACCTAATAAATGACCTAGGGAAGCTTTCTGCTGGGTAGGATTTTACCCAAGCTTAGTGGTTCAGGGAGATTAAATTGTATGCAAAACAAGTTTAGGATGTATGCTATATAGTCTGTTATCTTTGATCCTTCTCTAAAACCATCTGAAATGGCTTCATTAATCAATACTTTAATTCTTTTATGTGTTCAAGGTGCAAAGTATCACCTTTCCTTAATTGGCAAATGATCAGACTAACGCATGTGCTAATATTTCTTCCGTGCTGGGGTCAGATGTCAACTATTTTATCTTCCACAATTGTGTAACTTAGGTTGGAGGAGAGGTAAAGCATTAAAGTAGAAAGAAGGAAAATTTTACTATTTGATTGCCCTAATTTTAGAAATGTCCCTAATAATTAGTTGAAAACATGAACGTTAGATGGGAATAAGTGAGAGAAATATATTTATTTCCATGGAATTTTGCACATGTGAAAATTTTGTTAAATAGGACCTTAAAGATTCTAGGGTTTGTTTTTATTGTGAGAAACAAAAATCTTTTGCTAATACTGGCATTTTAAGGTAATAGAAATCAAAGACTGTTTTCCTTGGGGTTGAAGGTAGCCGCCAAAATATTCTTTACTTAGGGGCTTGATGTGTTTGTTGGCAACATATTTTATGGTGGGGTCTTGAATTCAGTGATAAAATTTAAATTAAAAACAAGCCAAAAACTAAAGGTTTTTATTTTTATTTTCACCAAACAGGCAATTGAAACACATGGTACAAAAATAAGTGGTAAGATTATTGTAAAATGAAATGGACAGAATATTCCATTTAATTTTCCATCTATGAGAATTTCACAATAAAATCATAGTTTTACTTTGTATTATAGATGTGCTTGTTGGATCTATTCATCCTCTCATAAGGCAACTGAACTCAAATTACCAAATTGTTATTTGGGTGAAGATTTTTTAAAAAATGTTTCAAAAGGTTTTTTGGTTTTTTTTTGCTTTACAATACGGTATAAAGGGGGAAATAATTCAGAAACTATCTTCCAAAGTAATAAACGATACAAATGTTAGTGTGACACCGTGCACTTCAGTTTTATATAGCAAGTTGTTCAAACTGTCAGTTTATTCTTGGTGAGTTGGCAAAAAACATATGAATTTCAGATGTAAGCATATTTACATACTTAGTTTTGAAAATTTTAGTGTTCTTTCCCCCATGACAGTCAAGAATGGAATGGAGTGTATCTAAACAAGATGTTTCAGCATGCTCCACTGTTTGCTTTTATTAATATGCCAATAAATGCAGTCTTGAAAAAAAAAATCCCATTCCTACCCCCTTTTCAAGTACACCCATTTCAAGCTACTATGGGCTTTTATCTAGTCACTTGTTGAACTATAAACTGTAAGTGGCTGCCATGAATTAGTTTATGTAAGAGTAAGCTAAATCTAAGCAGTGCAGTCTCTGGGAAATCCTTGCAAAATGATAGCTTTTCTGGTCTAAGCAGTAACTTCCTATTCTTTGACCTTGGATTGAAACTTCCTTAAGCATACATAACATGTTGCCATTGCAGTATATTTTCACATCAACCCTTCTTTATGTCCCCATTTAAGCTTCAGAACAGCCCTGTGTTGTTGACATTGTATTTGATTTGCAGATGAGCTCAGCCATGGAGCTGTAACAAGAACCTAGGTCTTGAAACTAGCAATAGAGTTCTTAGTACTGCCACTTCCCTGTGGACTTAACTTTTACTAATTTAAAGGGACTACTAGGAAATTTTCCAACAGGTAAATTTGGGATTTGATAATCACACTTATGCCACCATAGGCCACTACTGTCCTTAAGGCTAATGTGTACCCCTATGCACTGGCCAGCCAGGCCACTTGAACTGTAACTCAGCCATGTTGACTCATGGAATTGTTGCTGGCATCTTCCTAGGCTGAAACAATTTCAGCTTCAGTTTTAAGGGAGGTCTTCAACTTTTTATAGCACTGCTGGAGAAGTAATTAGCCACTGTGTTGATATTCCTTAGTGGCATTCTCAGCTAGGTCTAGAGTGAGCATCCTTCAGTCACACTTTATTTCAAAGGGGATGAACAAAAATCTTGAGTTCATCTCTAGGTAAAGTAGTACTTTCTTGGGAAACAGTACTTTGAAATAATGTACCCTGAAGATTTCTATCATTACAATTACTAGGTTGAGTCGGAATAGAATGGCATATGCAACATTCAATTACTATAACTCTAGCCAGTTTGTTTCCATAGGATTGTCATCAATTTTTTTTTCTGACCTATAGACTTATTTTCATGCCTATCAAATAGTACTAGTAAATAACTGGGTTAAACTCTTAATGGCTACCCTGTAACATACTCAGTGGAAAGTCAGTGGAAAGGCATGTACCATTTTATAGCCACATCAAAGGGAAGGTGGAATATAACAATATAAAAACAGGCTATTAGACATATGTGCCTTTTTAACCAGTTCTAGGCTGTTAAAATCTATGTATGGAATCAAGATTAATATGAAGAATCATAATATAGGCAGAATCTTCATACATAGTTTAATTCTAATCATGCCCTTAAACTAAGCATTATGGTAAATCATACCATAGTAGCAGCAGGCACTTGAAATACTGAATTTTATATAGCTACTATTGAAATTTTATATCATTTCCCAGTGACTATGCAGTCTGAAATTTTAAAGCAGAAAAAGTTACATTTATAATAGGACTTTAGTTCATATGGATGTGGGTGAGATGGCGTTAAAGATTATGTGGCTCAGCCCCCAAAACTAAAGTCCTAAATTTCCTTTAAAGAAAGTAATTTGGTATTAAATGTTTTGTTCTGAGGGGTATCGGAAGTTTGCTTGTGAGAGTAATTGTTCCATCATCATCTTCTTTTGATTCAAGATGACTTGTTCATTCTTTACAAACTTAAAAGATCTTCCTTTTTAAAGCACCTTCCTGAAATGAGAATCTGGAAGGAGTTTGAAAAAAGATCTTTAAGTGCTTATCTCATATATTTAAGTATGAAGAACCCTTTCCTTAAATCTTAGCCCACTATAATACTAAACTTACATGGGGGGAAATGTGCTTTTCTCATTCCATGTTAATTCATAGCCCAATAGAAATGAACTGATTTTTGTTTTTGCATTATCTGTGGTTACCGGCAATGGATGATTGCTTTGCTTTAAAAGCTACAGAATCGATGTTTTAAATGGTTGATCTGTAGATTTAATTCTATCAAGGTACTTACACGTCAACTCCCCAGCAACAAAAAATTCCTTTTTGTCCTTCACTATTTACAGCCTTAGTTTCTGTAGCTAACCAGGCTGTATGACCCTATCCATGCCCTTCCCTTCCCTGACCGTGGACTACCCTTCACAGGAGAGTAGGAATGGAGGGGAGCATCCTCCTTGAGGTACCCTTTTTGATGGCTCATTAGTCCATAGACTTGCTGTAGCTCAATGGCAATTCCCAAGGTCCCCAACACACTGTCCTTTAAGATATTAGTTAGGGAGGCAGATGGACCCCTAAGCCCTGAAGATGACAAAAGGTCTAATCCCCTAACTAATTTGTAGAGGAATCTTCTATGAATTTAGAGAGTTAAAGTCTCTTCTAAAGTCTTCGAAATGGGACTCACAAACCTAAGCTTCATTTTTATGTAAAGACCCAAGTTCCTGACCAACCAACCAATCACTTGAGTCCTCTTGTATGCCTGAGAGTACTGAGTATTTGGTACCTTATTTCTCATACCAGCCTTCTTTACATGATCTCAGTGCATGGACTAGTTTAGGAGCTGTCTGCTTTTTTTTAACTGGGCAGAAGGGAAGAAAGACCTATGTGACTATTAACATTTTATCAAAAGACTGCAAAGCCTCATGCTCTTTGCAGAGAAGCACCAAAGGAACACTTTAGTTGGGAAGTATTCATTTTAAATGAAAACAGTAATTCAATAGCCCCTTATTTCAGGGAAGAGAAAGGCATTTTAAAGCTAGTACATTAGCTTTAAGTTTCCCCCTTGATTATCAGTGTTAAATGGCTCTTACTTTCTTCCTGAAAGTTTCCCACCAGCCAGGTTTTGGGAGACAGATTACATCTCTGCCTGAGAAGATGCCTGAAAGAGAAAGAGAAGCATTTGTTATAGGAAGAATGCTGCAGAGGGAGGAAATACAACAAACATTTTAGAACCAAAACGACTTGCTCAATTTCTGATACAAATACATGGACTCCCTGCTCTTGACATACCTGGATTTTATCCGTTACCTTATTTTGTCATAGTTCTAATCTGGAAAATCTGAGTTAGGCACCACATTTTGATTGGAGAGGCAATTGCAGAGATAGTATGGTCCAGTTGTACCAAAGAGGGTACCAACTCCCTACACTCTCTCAGCCCGTCTCTCCTATCATTCATTTGGACCTTTCCAGAGATCAAAAGAAAGTTGTACTATTAAGTTTCCAGGCATGTTACCCCCAACTATCCCCTCCTAGCCTTTTGTGGGAAAGGGAGGTGTGGGGAGTTACCAGTAACTGGGTCTATAGGCACTGGGTGCTGTCAGTAGTTGCTTGGAGAAAGAGTATCAAATGAGTTGGGTGAGAAGAGCAAGTAGGTATAGATAAGTTTTGCTGCTGTTGCCCCTGGGTGCTGGTGAAGGGACTGCCATAGAAATGGGAGCATGGCATCCTAGTCCTCAGCAGGCAGCACGGGTGAAACAGTAATGGAAAACACAGCAGTGAGCCTTTGTCCCCAAAGGAAGACTCGCCCCGCCCCCCACTTCTTCCTGGCAATGGTAGCATCTCCTCCTAGCATCTTTTTTTTTTTTAGCCTCACCCAAGGACATGTTTCCATTGCTATTTTTTAGAAGAAGGGAGGGAGAGAACGTGA